CGCAAAAATGATAATAAATACACTCCACAGTTTTTTTTTGTTTTTTGTTTTTTTGTAAAAGTAGTTTTCTAAAATAGTTTTATAAATATTTGTTTTGTACTGTAATATATTCTGGTTTAGTTTTAATCAATGGAGGAGAATACAATACAATTATGACAGTTCAGGTGTCCTCAAACACAAACGTCAAGTGATACAAAAATGTGCCGTTGTTGTTTAAAATATTCCAAAACAATCACTCGTTCCCTCTGTTAAAATGCATTATTAATGAACCTCTAATGTCAGTCCCTTCTGCGTTAAAAAAGAAAGTGACCATTTCTGACAACTTGTCAGCATTTGGAAATCTCAAGGGGACGGGAAGCAGCACCATGAGGAGTGTGTTGCAGAATTCCTGACCAAAATTAAAGAGTGTTGATGCCTATACCGCCAAAAAGATGGCTTATAGTCCTATTCACTGTCAGTGACCAGTTTCCAGAAATCACAAGCTTGGTCCGACTGCAGATGTACTCAAATGATTCTGGGGAGTGGGGACACGCTATAATTCTGCATGAATTGTAAAGAGGTGATATCTGGAACAATTGTGTCCCACCAGTGGTCAGACCTTGGGTTTGCCGACATTACAGGTGACCTCCGTCTTGCCTTCAGCTGATTGCAAGATTACGTGTAAAGATACAAATTGTGTTTAATTTTTTTACTGTACAGTATAAAAACTGTTTATTTTTTTCAGTACCACTTAATATATTACCGCTTCGGCTGGTAGCGATATTAATTAAAATACATAATAAAGAATTGTACAACACTGGTAGTAGACACATTTTCCTGCAGATTAATGTTTTTACTTATAATACAGACATGCTTTTACTGCTTCCTTTTATAATACAGTACTTGCAGTGTACTTACTGTTTTATGGTGTCAGATCTATTATCATCCCCTATGTATAGATAATTAGCACCTTCTACCTATCCCTTCTACTATTTTGTTTATTCTCTCAGGTAAGGTAAAGTTGGTCAAATTCTATACTAGATAATAAGTATTCATTTCAGATTACAGTCTAGAAGAAAGACCCCTCCGTGGTTTAGTTCTTTATAGAAAGCAGACACTTGAGACAGGCAATATATATATATATATTTATAATAATTATAAGTAATTTTATTATATTTATTTAGTTTGTCAAAGTTTCCATACAAAGCTGGAAAAGTTATATAATAAAATAAAATAAGTTTCCAAGTTCCACCAGCAGGTGTCAGTTTCGGATCATCAAACAATGGAGAGGCTGGCTCATCTTCCAGTGTCTAACACAAACATCAAATACAGTACTTTTTATAATGCATATTACATATCACACGGTCTTCATTACATATTCCATCTCATAGGCACAATTGATACAATCCCAGATCTTGGACAATTAATTCCTTAAAGTAGTAGTTCACTTTTGAAAAAAAAAACTTTTGCTGATAATTTACTGACCCGCATGTCATCCAAGATGTTCTTGTCTTTCTTTCTTCAGTCGAAAAGAAATTAAGGTTTTTGAAGAAAACATTACACTTCAGAAAAACACATACACTTCAGTGGGAACTAAATGGTTCAAGGCCCAAAAGACACTTTCAACTGCAAACCTCTGCACAGAAGAGTTCTGTTATCACTCCGCTCTTGATCCACTCCGGGTTTTCCAGTCCCACTCACGGGAAAAAGCTGCTCCTTGTTGTTCACACAACGTCAAAGTAATCTAACATGTTTATATTTTAGAAACATCACAAACCACAAATGTCTACATTTATAAGACTTTGTGTAACGTTTTGGAAAGTATCCTACACGTTTAATAAATGTTCCAGCTGCCTTTGTTTGCACTTGTAACTAAAGAGCAGGAATGGCAAAGTGCACCCAGGTAAAAAGGAAGGAAAGTTGCAGAAAACAACTTCTACAAACAATTTTAATTTGCCAACAGTTGGTAATAATAATTAAAAGTGCATGACGTGCATCGAATAACAATCAAGTGCGATATAAACATGTTATATCAGGGCATCAGTAGCGAACTGGCAACAACACTCCACACTTCACCGGAAAAGAGTTTACCCTACTTCCGATGTCGGCGGCCATTTTTGTGATATATGCCACGAATGATTTTGAAGGCAAAAGTCCCGCTGAGAGCATGGGTCAGCTGTACACATCGTCATGTTTTGCGTGGATGGTCCCTGTGTCCACTGCTTCTGTCGGGTAGACACTCTCACCCCAGACTCGACTTTCAGCAATATGCTGATTTCACGTAGCCATTATTTTGAAATCGAAAGCGAGGCTCCAGTGGGAAGTAGCGTTAAACCGGAATCATAGGAAAGTGGCGAATGCGATGGCGTATTGTTGTGTTTTAAAGGTAGAAATGAGCTATTCTAAAACTGTACATACATTTCTTTCATACTTTACACTATATACAATGAAATTCATTTATAAATAAAATTATTTTTATGTAAAAAAAGAAGCAGGAATGAACTACATACACTATATTGGATATTAACATAATAGTGTAAATCGTGGCAGCAGCTTCAGGTTGGTAGTCCAAGGCATTGTTTTTTATCTGCAATTCCGGAGTTCTTCCCACCGGAGCCTCGCTTTCGATTTCAAAATGGCGGCTGTGTGAAAGCAGCATACAGCCTCGATAGAAAAGACTTATTGTTAGAACTGAAATGCACAGATAACCTGTACAACAGAGAAATTTAAGTATTTTTAAAGTATTTTTTTTTTACGAAATAAATTACGATGGATTTTGTGTAGAAAATAATCAGCAGGTTTGGTGAGTAGGCTTTAATGCTTTTTTGCCCCTGTTTTTCCCGTGATGAATATGATTTTCTTCCTAATCTGTCTTGTAAATTTATGATCAAATATTTTTACAGCCTCGATAGAAAAGACTTATTGTTAGAACTGAAATACACAGATAGCCTGTACAACAGAGTAATTTAAGTATTTTTAAAGAAATAAATTACGAAAAATAAGATTTTCTTCCTAATTTGTCTTGTAAATTTATGATCAAATATTTTTTTTTTCAAACATTCAAACTATTGTAACGTCTGACAATGGACAATAACCCTTGAAGGACAAGGAAAGATAGGCTCCGTTTCTGAACTTATAATCGGAATGCAAGAACCATTGAACACAAACGCACAAGTCGAACTCACTCGCTCGTTTCTCTCTAGCCGACCTTTTTCGAACTCACAGCATTAACCCTATAACTGCCAGTGCAAAATAAAAAACGCAATTTCACAATAAAGAGTCTATGCGCTGCTACACTATTAAAAGTTATTAATTCAGGTTGGAGACATAGGCCTACTGTAGGTGTGAAATGCACGGCCCGCCACTAATGATCTTATATAACATGATGCATCTATGATATCAGGTTCATTCTCGTGTGTTACGCAGCACGTTTAAGCTTCAGCAAGAACCAATGAGGTTCATTCTTGTGTGACGCAACATGTTTGTTGGGAAAAAAAATCGAGACTGGTCGAAAAAAAAGTCCTGCGATTGATCGCGACCAGTGTGCCTTCATAGGGATCTATTGTTTCAATTCAAGAACGCCATTGTGACATACATTCGTGTGGCTTAATCCTGCTCAGTGTGAAAGGCCCTTTAGTCTTCTTAGTGAACTTTTAGCTGTCAATGGAGAGACAGAAATCTCTCAGATATCATCAAAAAGATCTTAATTTGTGTTCTGAAGATGAATAAAAGCCCTGGTTCAACATGAGGTTGAGGTTTAGTTTTGAGTATTTAATTTAGTCTGAGGTTTGTACAATTAAGTAGATTAAATTAATGATGAAATGAAACATTCAATTGAGAAAAACTTTCTTAAGAATGACACTTCCAGTTGTTTTGTTGTGGTGTTTGTTCTTGGTCTCATGGAGATTTGTCTCCACAGAATATTGATGCAGTATTGTGGTAAGGATGTAAAATTGACAAATTCTTGCTACTTGCAAAACAACTTTAATTCTTGTCATTGGGTATGTAGAGCTTCCTGTGTCAGTGTTTAGTTTGTGGATGTGGCTAAAGAAAAAAAAAAATGCATTGGCCTGTCATTGCATTACCTCATGTATACTTACTGTAATTCAAATTAATGAAGATGTTGCACAGCAAATTGAACTTTTCACTGTTTTGTAAAACCGAATTACCACAACTGTGAAGTATAAAAAGGAAATGAAATCTGGTTTCCATGTGTTCATGACCACGTACGACTGTGTAAAGAGAACAACAAAGGACAATGTTAGAAAAAAGAACTGATCTTTAATGTTTTTTGTTTTTTTAAGTGTACCATTTCTCTAAAACATGCTTATGGTAAATCATGTCTTGATATAGTTTTTACACACATACTGTACATGGACGCAAACTTGACAACTAAAAAAAAAAAACCCTAAAAATTTGTGATTTTCCAGAATCATCAGTGTGAATTGTGTTTCACAGTACAATGGTTCAATGGTTGTATTTCATAAAAATACAAATGTTTGATTATTATTATTGAATAGGTTGCATAAAAAAAGTGGACCCCCTTGATGTTTTTGTATCCCTGTATGTATGATAAACTAAGGAGCATTATAACTATTAAAACGTACCTATATTGACATCTAATGTTATAATAAATATTAATCAACTAAATAAAAGCACATTATATTGACCTTAGTCAGTTAGACATATTGAATTTAACGCAGATACAAACTAGACTGTAAGGGTCCTACAGACATGATAATGGCATGCACTAGGTCTTACATCATCAAGTGTTTAAGGAGTATATATAAATATATAAATTAAAGGTAGCCTAACGTCATCATACTCAGATTCTAGTCAAAATGTGAGTCTGACACTGCTCCATTGGGCTGTGATTATGGGGGTGTTTCAACCGAACCAGAAAAAAAAAAGCCTCTGCACTCAATTGGATAGACCTACAAATAATCAGGGGTGTGTTTCCCGAAACCATCGTTAGCCAACTATGGTCGCAAGTTCCGTCGTTATCATATCATATCATAGTTCAACGAGTCGGTGTTTCCCGAAACCATCGTTCCAACGAACATTCGCAAACAATGGGTTTCGGGAAACAGTCGCGACTAGCTAGTTTATTTCTCCATCGTACTATGGTAGTGAAGCAGCAAGTTACATCGTTGTACGGGAAACGCACCCGAGCAAAGGAGTAAGTGACGTATGCTGAATCCCATAATAAATACGGCAAAAACATCTTTCCGATCGACAAATGCCTTGATCGCGGTTCTCTTTTCGTCTTTTAAAATGAATGCATTGTCTACATCTTCTATAATAGACGTGATGGCAGAATCTACTCATCTCAATTCTCTAGCGGCAGCCAGCTTTGATGTAAACAAATTCAACCCAAGCGCTTTTTGGTATCGTTCGAGCATAGTTGCTCCACAGCGGATCAAGTCTGAACTTCCCGCCCTCAAATGTTGTGGGAGGGGCTAAGTTCAGCTGGCATCCAGGCTACCTTAAAGTGATAGTTCTGAAAAATGTCCTGGCTCTTCCGAGGTTTTATATTGGGAGTCAATTGGTATTTCTCGACTAAAATAACTAGCTTCCGGCAGACAGAAGTCGACTTATGCCAAAAGAGTAACACTTGTAGGATGTAGGAGTAGTGTAAGCTTTGAAGCCTCCGTGGTTCAAACAAACAGGGATGGGCAACCGAGTTTGCCATTACATTGTAATAGTACTTTGCCTGTCTTTGAGAACCACTGGTTTAAGGAAATACTATGGTCAATCCAAGATTGAAAAGAGAATGTTGTAATTTTGTGTCCTGCTCAATCTACTGTCCCTCTCCTGTTACCATAGTAACTACCTTCTCAGCATCCGCACCCATATCATCAATAGCAGTATTGAGCGCCTGTAGCATAACAGTGAAAGATCTGCTGACGGATCTAGCATGTCTCGGCATGGCTAGCTCCACGAGTCTGGTGGTTGCAGTGCTGGTGTCTTTCTCGGCCTCCGCGAGCCGTCTTTTAACTTCACTCTTGCTGACCTCCACAGAGAGAGCGCAGGTCCGCAGAGCCTTCATCCTGGCTGGGTCGAGACCCCGCTGCCTCGCCAGTCGCTGCAGAGACTCGTCGTCCAGGCAAAGTGAGATCTGAGCCTTCGTTAAAATACGTACGCCCACCGTAGCGTCCACCATGGAAGACACCAGGGGTACGGGAATGGCAGACACGCCACCGGATAATGAGGCAGCAGCCCACACCAGTGCCTTGAAGGCATCTTTCTTCTGAGTGACCAAGGATTTGGAAAATGTTGGAAGTGCCAGAAGAAGAGCATGCGCCCTGATCTCTGGAAGGTCACCTCGCATGACCTCTAAAAACGTTAGAAAGTCCAGCTTCTCCAAAGCGGAAGGTTGTACCAGGAACACCTTGGGGAGAGGAACACCTTCTGCCTTGAGCAATTCTAAGCTTTTCGCTTTCTTCACCTCCAGTGTTTTATCGGTATCGTTCACAGACGCTAATAAGACAAAGTAAATTGTCTCTTTCTGCAGCGACCTTAATTCCCTCCACAACGCCACACTGTTAACACTAGGACTCTCTGTGAATGTGATAATGATGGCGTTGTACCGCACAGCTTTGAAGCGCTCTATATATTCCTCGGCCTGAAAAGTGGGATCGCTAGAGATGGGTGGCAGATCGAAGAGGCGATAGTCGGGATGTTTGGAGTTCAGGAATATGGTTAGTTCCTCTGGGGCAGCAGATGATGGAAAGCGGGCTGAGCCTTCGTCGTCTTGACTCATCCCTCGAAGTGAGTTGATAAAAGTGGCTTTTTCTGCTTTTCTTTCCCCAGCGATTGCGATGTTGATTCTGCTGATCAGCATGTCCTCCATGGCATCTTTTATATCTGATATGTTGTTCTTCTCAATGGACTCCTTTAGCGTTTCCAGCAGGTTCAGACCCCTCAACACATCAGCCATATCTGTAAAATGACAACTAAACTACAAATACAGATGTTAGAGTTATATGCTGGATGCAACCAGATACAGTTCTGTTTTTTTTTTTTTTTTTTAGAAATTAAAGGGATAGTTCTCCCAAAAAATGAAAATTAGCCCATGATTCACTCACCCTGAAGCCATCCTATGTGTATGTGACATATATGAGAGTGATAATGAGAGTGAATGGCTATTTGACTTTGGAAGTCAATTAAGACAAATTTATTCATGATTAAAGTGCTCGACATGGCTCTGGGAGGTTAATAAAGGCCTTCTGAAGTGAAGCGATGCATTCATGTGCGAAAAATATCCATATTTAAAAGTCTATCGACTAAAATAACTAACTTCCGGAAGACGGCCGTACACATCGATTTACGGCAAAAGACTAACATGACGGCCATTGACGCCTCTCGCAGTTTAAACCAACAGGGCTGGGCAACCGTGTTCGTCATTACGTTGTGCGTCACGTTCAAGTTTTACTCTTTTGGCGCAGACGTATGGCCGTCTGCCGGAAGTTAGTTATAGACGCTACTGTAGTTATAGTTAGTTATAGAAACTAGTCATAGTTTTTCAAACAGACATTCACTCTCATTATCAAGCTTGGAAGAGCCAGGAGTTTTATATTACTCCGATCGTATTTGTCTGAAAGAAGAATGTCATATACACCTATTTGGCTTCAGGGTGAGTAAATCAAGGGGTAATTAAAATTTTTGGGTGAACTATCCCTTTAATAATTTTTTTCAGAGAGACATTAGATTAATCAAAAGTGACACCGAAGACTGGACTAATGACGCTGAAAAGACTTTATATGATACAATTCATTATATTGCAATTCATCTTTATAAGTCCAATTCAAGTCTTTTTAATTTCATAATTACATTTTAAAATTAAAATAGAAAACGATTATCTTAAGATTCACAATATTACTGTTTTTATTGTACTTTGATCAAGTTATAATATTTTAAGAATATATTTATAGAGTAAAATATAAACTATAAGTAACTTTTTTATATTTGAGCTAAGGCATTCTAAAATATTACGACACATGAACAGTACATTATATAACATAAATGTAATTTATTTACTGGAAAATACAGTATATAAGATAAGTTATAATGATAGCATCTAAATGTTGCAAAATAACAAGGCAAATGCAAGTTCAGAGCATGAAATGCCATTTTGAATTTAAAAACCTGCATTGCAAACATACGTCGCCAAAAGTAAAAGAAGTAAAAAGAAAAAGTCGCTTACTACTAACATGTTACTTTCCATAAAGTACAATATACTGTAATTAGTTCATGTAATTAGGAGCAATGCAATATTGAGAATAGACTAACCACTTTAAGAATACTTCCATTTCCATCCAAACACATACCTTATTTCAGATCATTCAGGATGAAAGCGAGTGTGGTGGACCACAGAAAATTTCAAACCACATCAAATGAATGAGACACTGACACTCTCATAGGCTATTTAAGGATTCTCAGTAGTGTGTGGAACATTCTAATCCTGTTATCTAAGGCCTAATCCTGCTAACACACACACACACACACACGTCATTACAGAGGAGCAACCAGCAGGTCACCTGATTAACAATTCTTAAGGAATCAACAAATTTCACCCATCTGATATTTAATGATGCCTTTAACAATGGTACAGGTTTGTGAGTTCCCAGCATGCATTGCAGCATAAATAAATTATGCACTTTAAGTTTTAGGACCATTTTTTTCTATTCTTTTTTTTCTTTTTTCGCAGTTTCCATACTTTATTTATGCTGTTGCTGTTGACTTCACTGTTACACTTTTGTACTGTTACACTTTATTTTTTTACATTTGCTGTTGTCACAGTTATTTAGGTTTGTGGGTTATGTGTTAAGGTCTATGTGTGTGTAGCAAGCCTAACGGAGTGAGGCTGGAGGTGTGATTGCTAATGATGCCAGTGAAGGATGAGAGAGGACCAGGCCTGGTCTTTATTTTGTGTTTTATTACGTTTTTTTTATGCAGCAGTCTTCCTTCACTGTAGTCAATCCCCCTTTCATCTGTCCGGAGCTCCTCCATTGGACACGAGGCCAGTGTGGATCGCAGGAGATGTTTATAAACACTCGTGCCACCGTTTCCACGGATCTCGGCCCTGCTTGCCACACTGTGACTCTGTGAAATTAGTGCAACACCTCCTTGCTTCACAATTTGCAGAATAACACTTAAAGTCAAGTGTGACTTGAGAAACCTAAGAACAAGCCTTGACTACAAATCCAACATTGAATTGAGATACTATTATTTAACAAATTGACAAATAATAACTCCATATAACAGTAAATAATTTTAAATGATTTTGATACCCCCCCCCCCACAATTTGCAGAATAACACTTAAAGTCAAGTGTGACTTGAGAAACCTAAGAACAAGCCTTGACTACAAATCCAACATTGAATTGAGATACTATTATTTAACAAATTGACAAATAATAACTCCATATAACAGTAAATAATTTTAAATGATTTTGATACTTCCCCCCCCCCCCCCCCTATTTTCCAGTTACCAGTATAAACAATAAGGGAGAAGGCAACTATCAGAAACCTTTTTTTTATTTAGTAATACATATTTGCAGCAGTTTTAGTAAGCTCAGAAACTTCCTTAAATAGATATTTAACACCACATGCAGAAAATGGGAAGAAGAAATAAAGAGAATTGTAATTGTATGAGAAAAAAAACAGATGTTGGACATTAATGAAACATTCTGTATTATGTTGCAATCACCAACATTTTTTGATAGACACATAAGGGATAAAAGCTCTAAAGTAACACATTATTTATTTTCTTAAACATCTGCCTAAAACAAAACAAAATGTTGTTATGTGTAGTTAAAACTTGTAGCACCTTAACTTTGAAGCATCTGAGAATTAGAATAAAGTTCTTCCTCTCCCTCCATCTGTTTCTGGTTGGGTGTTTCAATCTGGTCATCTCCATCCTGAAGGGCCTCCCTTTGCTTCCCATCTTCTCCTATCTTCTCCCTCTTGATCTCAGCGTAGTCTGTGTCTGTCGGTTCCATCTCTCCCTCTTCAGGCGCTCTGTTCTTTAAAAGGGAGTAGTCGATGCTGGCGTAGTCCACCTCTCCTGCTTGCATCTCGACTGCTTCCCCGTTCTGTGCTCCATCTGTTGGTGCTGCTGTGTCTGTGGTCCCTCCATCAAGCTGTCCATGAAGAGGTGTCTGTTCATTGGTTCCACTCTGAGCTACATCTGTCTGCACTGTCTGATACATAAAGAACATATCCTTATTTTGATTTTGATTTATTTACATTAAAAACTTCTGTTTCAACAAAATATTTGGATCTGTCTTACCTCCAAATTGATATCAGTGTCTGGATTTTCTGTCGGCACTTTGTGTCTTTTGTCTCTGTTAAGAAAAAATATTTAGGGAATAAGACAAGGACAAATGATATTTGATGGACTTTTGAGGCAGCTTTTAGGAAAAGAAGTAAATTGCAGGCCTACCTGTGGCAAGACACCCAACAACACAAAATCATTGAGAAGATGATTGCTGAAAATGCCATTCCGGCCACAAATGTGAGTATCTGGTTGGTTGAGATGCCAAAAATCTTCAAAAAACCTTCTATACCTTAAATGTAAAAATACACAACTGTTACAAGAAAATGTCCAATGTTGAATGCTGAAGTGAGAGTAACATGTTCCTGAAATCCTAAACTTAACCCACACCCTAAACATACTAAAATCTGATTGATTGAGAGGAAAGGACCAGAAAAGTTGTCAATCCAGGAACATTGGCTAACTGGATAAATCATAATCGCCCTGAAATAAACATACAGTGTCTAAAGTGTGTTACCTGTGGAATTTTTGTTTTCAGTGGAATTTTTCAAGTTTTCACCTCCGGTAGTGAAGGACTTGTTTATTTTCAATTCTTTTGTGTCATCTATGGGATAAATGTTTGATGTTATAATTAGTAAAGACATATATTCAGACATTAGGGCTGTCCCCTGCAAACATGCAATGAACTTTCTTAGATGTGTCACAATTCAGTATTTCAACAGTTGCTGTTATCAATTTCATAATTCATAATGTTGTAAGTCTGTGATATTGTTAGGTTACAAACTGTTCATGTGGAATCTGGTTCTACTTACTAAAGACATTGATCGTGATGGATGCATTCAAAGTCTCCATCATATAAGTCATCTGACAGACATATATCCCAGCATGCTCCTTTGTCACATTTTTAATCATAAGATTTTCTGCAGACGTGTCGTTCCTGATTCCGTTGAAACTCCATACAGGATTAGTGGACGGTGGGTGACTCTCAACAGTGCAGTTCAGGCGGAGAGTGTCACCTTCCATTACTTTGTCTTCGCCCAGAATCTGAAGAGTCTGTACATCTAAAAAAGAGCAATTGCTTTGGTTTTGACACCATATTGACACAGTATGCATGCATAATTATCTCGCAAGAAATAGGTAATTTAAGTTCTACTCAATGATCAGTGGTAGAAGAATAGATCTCAGTAGTCAAGCCGAAATTTCTGATTTTTTTTTGCAATTGTCAAAGAAACATGCCTTTTCAAGAAGTTTGGTCAAATAAGTATAGTACTTGTACTCACACGTTACTTGCAGGGTCCCACTGGTCCTGATGGTTTTGTTTCCATAGCTCGCATCACATCCTACAGTGCCGTTGTGCATTTTGGAGGTTGGAGTCAAGGGTAAAGTTGAGATGTAAAGGCTTCTGGAGGTTTTCAAAGTGATTTTGTCATACTCGAGGTTGGTGATATTTTCTCCTCTTGTCTGGATCCACCATGTTATTTTAGGTGGAGTTTCAGGGCAAGGAAAAGGAGCCGAACATGTCAGATTGGCTTCCACTCCTTCGCTGAGAGGAGGAATATCTATTTTAGGCTCGTCTGCAAAGAGAGGTACACAACATAATGTAGACATTGCAGATTTCTAAAGTGTAAATAATTAAGTCACTCTTTGAGGACAGATTTGGATCAAATGCATATTTTAAGATGAAAAGAAAGAGCAGTGTGATGAGCATAGCACAACCACATGTTTAAGAGATCATGTCCAACATAGTTCTCCTGCTGAGATTATTAAAGCATAACATCATAAAGTGTGCAGTGAGCTGAACATCCCTGAAACAACTGAGAACTGAAAGAGAACATCAGACTAGAGAAAAAGGCGGGACCTTTTAAACTTTACCAAACACAAGCAAGCATTACCTTGAATGATGACTTTAACTGTGGGTGTATACGTGTTTTTATGTGGAGTTGGCCCCTCCACTCTGAATGCATAGATATTTTCATCTTCTGCTGTTATGTCTTTCATGATGATGCTGCAGTTGTTTTTGGTCAGATCAGGTTCAAGCATCTTAATCCGTTCGGTTTCTGTTTCCTTCTCTTCAATTGTGTTTTTGTGTTGTGTACTCACTTTCCCCTCGATAATACTTGAAATTTTTTTTTTACATTGATCATCTTTACTACACACAATCCACTGAACATTATCAATAGGGTTTGCTTCATTTGGATAGGTGAAGGTACATGAAATCAGAGCACATAATCCTGGAACTGCAATAATTTCTGGCGGATTGATGGTGATAGCCCAGTCCTCATTTCCATAGCCTTGAATAACAGAAGAATGTGATGAAATGACATTGAATACACATTTAAACTTAAATGTTACTGTAAAACATGTAATACATACCTGTACACAAAATATTTGACACTAACATAAAGAGAATTGTAAAGCTTGAACTGATCTGCATTTTAAACATGCATTCCACAGATCTGCGCACAACAAAAGAAACATTCACTTGAACATTAATATAAATGCTATGCATTCGAAATTCCAATATATTATTCAATATTTGAATGCAAATACTTTGTCAGTGCATTTTATATAAAATATGTGTCATGGCAGTAAAGAAAACTGCATTTCAAATTGAAATTTACAGCAATAAAATCGACCTTACCGCCTCACGTCAAACCATTCACAGTGTTCTCAGAAGTTTTAGTTGTAAAACTGCAGAAGCAGCACACAAGTGTATAAGCTGCATCCTTCCTCTATTGGAGCACTTCCTCATTGAACTGACTTGAACAAATAGGGGATTGTTGTGCATGACAAGCAAGAATATGGAAAGAAATAGCATAATTCAGTACAACACAAAAATTAACCATACTTTGATTCTGTCAGGTATGGGAGTAATGGAAGGAGCGAGGACTCAACTGCAGGGGAAACCGGGATTTATTAATAATAAAAAAATAAAACAAAATACAAACAAAAACTACCTGAGGGGGGATACAGTACAAAGAGTGATGTTACGTCTGACACTGACACTTCGAAGCTTATTTCAAACTCAAACGGTCCTTGCAATGAACCACTTCTTCGGAGCTTGTCTCATTATGTCACTAGTAATGTGAAAAGGACTTCTGAAGCAAACACACTGGTTCACTCATGTAGTAAACCACCTGACTGCTTTGACAGCACAATCCAGTGACAGGTCTGAAACCTGGCAGCTGTATTTCTTATAAAAGTGAAGCCAAACCATGGCAACTCCCTGGGTTGTAGCAGTCGGTGTTTGGATTGACGTTAATTTGAGTTTCGAGTGGATTGAGTTTATTTTAGTGTTGTGATGCAGCCAGCGAGAAAGAGAAGTCGGTCCCAAGTTTGGGAATACTTTAAACTTATTTCCCCGAATAAGGCTAGTTCTTTGACATTTCTCCATACAAATATTTTTACATATGTAGGCTAGTGAATAATATGCAAAAAGACAGAAACTTAAAAAACCCTCTGCTACTTTATACAAGTACAACCAGTTACACAAGCATCCTTTTCAACATACAAAAGTATCAGTTCCACTAGATATCAAGTTATAGAGTTCTGCTTCCCACAGCTTAACAAGATAAAGCTTTCACACATGATACTGCCCTGCTTAAAAAAAATAAAAAAAACTATAAAAACCATTCCAGAAATTCTATTGGATTTAATGGTTTTCATTGGAGTATTGGTTGTAATGGGAAGTATAGTGGTCTCTACTGATGTGTGTTGGGTTCTATTGGTGAGGACATTAAATCCTAATGGAATATGTCCCAAACACACTACAAAACGAATACTGTAGTGGTGTAAATGGTAAAAGCCAATGGTTCCTATTGGTACTTGAATAGAAACTTCTGTGATGGTTTCCATTTTTTTAAGCTGGTCTGATCTTATGTCCTCGTCGAAAGAAATAATTACACACACACATCATGCTTAATGTTTTATTATGAAGCTGAACACATGAAATCCATCGGTATCTGTAAAATTCACCAACATAAATGAGTTTCACAACACTAACACTGTTTCAGCTTTGATCGCTTCGGTAAACTTGTAATAAACAGGCGTTAACATATAAGCCTACTTGCATTTTATGGTTGTCAGCTTTGTTGAATAACCTTTACTTTATAAGGAGATGGTGCTGCAATTTCTATCTGAATGAAGCTTCGAGTAATGAACCATTTTCGACACAATTGTATCAGAGAGCAATAATGCTTCAAAACGCTTCATTTGGCCATCACTATGTAGGACGAGACTAGGCAAGGTGAGATTAAAGTAAGCTCTGACTAGAAACTACATTAAATTGTCAAACGAACAATGTAGCACACAAAAAGTATAACAAACTGACAAACCATGAGGGCAAAATAACTCATAAAAATGGAGCTGAGAACAAGAGGAACAGGTGAAAACAATCAGACAAACGAGGACAAGAGGGTGTGGTACTGGGAAACAAGGAGGCAGGAACAGAGGAGCACATGTCAAACACACACAAAAAAAGAGCAATAAGCACAACACAAACATTGAGACTTGAAACAATGACAACACAGACAAAGCTTTCATGGCAGGACCCTGACAGTTTTTAGATTTGGAGATTCAGTTTTGGCCATGGAAATGGAAGAAAAAAATAGGCCTATATTTTACTATAAGGCTTCCAGTAAACCCAAGTGACCACATTTATTAGATTAATCCCCAATATTCACATGTGCATTCTTAATCTTAAACCTAGGCCTAATATTTTACTCACATTTTTCAACAACAACAACAACAACAACAACAACAACAACAACAAAACTCCACATGACTTCTACACAGTTTCTCATATGTATGGATAGTACAATATACTGTACATGTATAATGACTTTTAATACAGACAAAATTAAGGTCAGATAGGATGAAGTTTATGTATCGTATTTGTAAAAATATATAGCCTATATTAAATATAGTCTAAATAATATAAACATAAATTAAATAGCAGTAAACCTCCCAAAATTGTACAATTTATATTAGGCAAAATCCAACATAAAGGTAATTTAAGGACCTTGCTATGAGCTTTTTTAAATAATAAACTTCACTCTTTCTGATGTCCTTGTTGGTCATAAAAAACCTCCAGTATATCTTCAGTGTCTGTGTTTGTGGACATCACTTCATGTATCTTGTCTCTGCTGGAAAACATATTCAGGGAATAAGATTAGCAAATGGAGTAATATATAATTATCATGACTGTGGACAACAGTGTTCAGATGCTTTCACATCAGAATCCCATCTGAATAAATCACTCAGAACACCTTCAAGTAAATGATGTTTACCACCATGTTATTTTAGGTGGAGTTTCAGGGCAAGGAAAAGGAGCCGAACATGTCAGATTGGCTTCCACTCCTTCGCTGAGAAGAGGAATATCTATCAGGCTCGTCTGCAAAGAGAGGTACACACCATAATGTAGACATTGCAGATTTCCAAAGTGTAAATAATTAAGTCACTCTTTGAGGACAGATTCGATTCAAATGCATATTTTACTAAGATAAAAAGAAAGAGCAGTGTGATGAGCATAGCACAACCACATGTTTAAGAGATCATGTCCAATATAGTTTCTCTGATGAGATATGAAATCATAACATCAGAAAGTGTGCAGTGAGCTGAACATCCCTGAAACAACTGAGAACTGAAATAGAACATCAGACTAGAGAAAAAGGCGGGACCTTTTAAACTTTACCAAACACAAGCAAGCATTACCTTGAATGATGATTTTAACTGTGGGTGTATACGTCACTTTATGTTTATTCTGCCCCTCCACTCTGAATGCATAGATCTTTCCATCTTCTGCTTTTATGTCTTTTATGATGATGCTGCAGTTGTTTTTGGTCAGATCAGGTTCAAGCATCTTAATCCGTTCTGTTTCCTTCTCTTCAATTTTGTTTTTGTGTTGTGTACTCACTTTCCCTTTGAAAATAGTTGTCCATAGAAAAATATCCATATTTAAAACTTTATCGGCTAAAATAACTAGCTTCAGACAGACGGTTGTACACATGGAAAGAGTAACACTTGATTATGTTAACACTATGTTAACGCATTGACGAACAAAGGACTGCAGAGGTTTTACAAATTAGAAGTCTCAAATAAGAATTTATAAAAAGAAATGTTAGAGGAGTTTGAGTTTATTGCCCAGCCCCGTTTGTTTGAGAGCTGTCAAAGCTTACGCTACATCCCATGTCAAAGTCGACTTGTGTATAGGCCGTCTGCCAGAAGTTAGTTATTTTATTCATTATTTTATACACTTTTATTATAAATGGATGCACTTTATGGATTTCAAAACAGAAACAGCCATTCACTGCCATTATAAAGCTTGGAAGAGCCAGGGTATTTTTTTTTAACATAACTCAGATTGTATTCGTGTGAAAGAAGAAAGTCATATACACATAGGATGGTTGGAGAGGGTGAGTAAATCATGGGCTAATTTTCATTTTGGGTGAAATAACCCTTTAAGTTTGGTCTCATTTTAAAGAAGAAGTTAATAGAGGTTTATGAATATTAGCTTTCAGTAAGATTTTGACCAAATGTTCCCCATTAGATGCCAGCAAAGCTACAGTGGTATACACAGTGATTGGATTTGTTATTTGCAGTAGAGTTTTCTCTCTCAAATATTACACACACACACACATTTTGTTTTATTACATGCATACAAACCACACTTTGACATCCATAACATCACACCCACACATATATACCTGAATATTCTATCCAGTTTGGAATATACGTATAAGCAGAAAACAGGAATAAAGTGAATATCTGCTTCATAGGCCAAACCTGAGAAATGGCACCATCTGGTAAACAATAGTTAAAAATAAACAAATAAAATCAATCATAAAAGCCTATTAATAAAGACTGCTTTGGTTTAGTTAAATGGCCCTGCAGGGGGAAAAAAATGCAAGTGGGTTTCAATGGGGATTTATTTGTAAGTGTATACTGGATAAGTGTAACTATTTTGTTTGTACATCGTGTAAAGGAAATGAGGGTGAAGTTGTGAAATTCCAATGAAAATACACACTTGTGCCAAAATTATCAAAAAATAAAATTGAAAAGGAAAAAAAAAAATTGTCCGTTTAGACGCACTTAACCAGCTCCCTTGAATACTTGATTCTGATTGGTCAATTGCAGGACTCTCAAGTATTAACTTATACACTGCATAATTTACTTTTGACCCTGGCAACAACTTTCCTACAATGCCGTGCTAGTTTCATGTTTTGTGTCACTCAATGTTCTCTTCTTTTCTTACATTAATAATAACAAAAAACAAAACAAAACAATATATATTGTGTATCTTAATTGCCAGATATTTCATTTTGATCATTCTGTCTGGGTTTTTTTTTTTTTTTTTTTGCGATACGTTGGATCTTTATTTTAGTCACTAACACTTCCATGTCAAATGGCTTTCCCCATTATGAGCAGGCTCATGAAGAAAACCATAATGAAAAACAGCCACATGAAGAATCGATCCAGAACCTTGGCAACCTTTTTCCACTCCCCCGTTCTTCTCGCCGTAGCTCTCTGATCACGGTAACAGTTTGCGACATACTCGATATTCCTCATGAGATGTTGCTGCTCACACCTGCACTGCACTTTGAGCCCACCATCATGATCTCTGCATCTATCCTCTCTTTCCCCTCCTCTTCCTGTGGCTTTCCCCACCTCTGCCGCCCCATCGCCGCAATCCATGCTCATGAACATTCCCTCCTTCCACATGCCGTAGCGACAGGTGGGGTGTTTTCCCAGTGAGCACGCCGGGCTCATGATCTGAGACATGTCTTCGGTGTCCTCTGTGAGTTTTGGAAATGTGGCATCTTGACCTTGCTCAAATTTGAACACGAAGTCGTCTTTCCCTGCTTGCCCATTCATGTTGCAGTTGGAGTCAGGCGGTTTCTGCAGTCGAGGCTCTGGTTTCTCTGGTTGCGGCGTCATGCAGTTCTCGCCGACTTCGTAGACGAAGCAAATCCTGGCCAGGTACTGCAGGATGAATTTTTTCGCCCATTCTGGGACTGGTTTGGCCTCGGGGCCACAGTGATGGATGTTCATAATGAAGATAGTGAGGGCGGTGGATGCAGTGATCATGGTCATCGTGGCTATGTAGTACTTTCCTGTAAAATGTAAGACAAGGTACAGAAATGTGTAGTGTCCATTTTTTTTAATCAATACGTGATTAAATTAGATTGACAAGTTTAGAATGACATTTTACCAATTCTGTTTAATTAAATGTAGGCTCTGTTAAATGTAAGAGTTTAATGAGTCTAGTTCCCTAACTGTACCATTGATGATTGTTTTAGTCAAATAAATGAGAAGGGTTCAAAAAAGTGGGACGCGAGCAGCGGAATAGCCCATCTTCTTCATTTGTGTTTCACGGCTTTAAGCACATTACAGAGCGAAACCATTCTGTACTATTTCATAAAGTTTATAAGTAGTGGGAAAGCGAGAAGTGATAGTACCTATCTTCCTTATAGACAGTATTGAAATGAGCATCAAACTCCAACAGCATTGTTGAGTGGAGATTAGACAAATCCGTCACCTCCAGAGTCCCATGCGGCCAGACCTGCTACTACACATACCTTGCCATAAACTGCTAACTTTTGGCAGTTATGACACCACATACTGTACTGTGGTACAGAGTGAGAAGCAAATAACGGTCGTCTACACTGCTCTCAGCCGATTGAAACCCTTGCTTTGCACAAGCATGAGCTGAGAGAAGCAAACTAGTCTAATTTCTCAAGAAAATAATCCAGCAAGAGCTGAGCTCTCTTATGGCTAAAAGTAGCTAAAAGCTAGAGTTAAAAAAAAGTTTTCAACCAACGACGCGGCGTCAGTCTGGAAAAGCCTGAGGAACATCAAGTGCAAGTCACCATTCCCATGATCGGTGGAGAATCAACAAATGGCTGAGGATCTGAATGTGTTTTAGTGTAGGTTTGAAAACCCTAGACTCACATCCAACACCTGCTCTGATCTGTACTTCACATATTCACCAACACCTCCTACAATCCCCCTCCTGCCATCCAACCTGTGGAGGACATGAGCCAGGTCTTCAAAAAGAAACTGAATACTGGGAAAGCTTCAGGCCCAGACCATGTTTCAACTGCCTGTTTAAAAGTCTGCACTGACCAACTCACCCATATTTTCACACAGATCTTCAACAGATCACTGGAGCAATGTGAAGTTCACTGCTGCTTCAAATGCTCCACTATCATTCCAGTCCAAAAAAAAAAAAATCCCTGGACTTAATGACTACATACCTGTCGCTCTCACGTCAAAGTCATTTGAGAGACAGGTGCTGGCCTACCTGAAGACCTTGCTGGATCCTCCTCAGACCCCTCAGTCAAGCTCCTGAAGTTTGCAGATGACATAACAGTCATCGGCCTTATACCAAAAGGTGATGAGTTTGTATACAGACTGGAGGTTGAACAGCTGGCTGTCCAGCCCGTTCTCATCCCAAGACGTCATGTAACTGACGCTTTTGACCATACGTCAACATCCGACGTTTTAGGGTACCCTTTAACGTCAGTTAGATGACGCTATCTAATCCTAACCCTACCCTACCAAACCTAAACCTACCCGTGTCATCTAACTGACGCTAAAGGTAAAGCGTCAGTTAGGTGACGGTCCTAGGGTGACGGTTAAAGGGTACCCTAAAACGTTGGATGTTGACGTATGGTCAAAAGCGTCAGTTAGATGACGTCTTGGGATGAGAATGTGTTGGGCTGTCTGGTGCAGTCATAACAACCTTGAGTTGAACACACTCAAAACAGTGGAGATGATAGTGGACTTTAGGAGAAAGACCCCAGCACTCCCCCACTCATCATAATGAACAGCACTGTGAAAGCAGTGAAGTCATTTAGGTTCCTGGGCACCACCATCTCTCAGGACCTGAAGTGGGACACTCATATAGAATCCATAGTGAAAAAGGTCCAGCAGAGGTTACACTTCCTTTGCCAGATGAGGAAGTTCAACCTCCCACAGAAGCTGCTGATTCAGTTCAACTCCGCAGTCATCAAGTCTGTCCTCTGCTCATCTAAAACTGTCTGTTTTGGTTCAGCTATAAAATATAGACATCAAGAGACTAGAATGTTAGAATTATTGGTTCCCCTTGCACACCCTCCAAGGTCCTTACACCTCCAGAGTGAGAAAAGGGGCTAAGAAAATCACTTTGGACCCCACACACCCAAACCAACTCGCTCTTTGAACTATTGCCCTCTGTCCGGCGCTACAGAGTACCGAGCATCAGAACAGCCACACTGGTTTACACTGGCTTTGCCTTTTTACTAATTTCTTATTCAAACATTGTATTTACACAAACTCTAACCATATCTATAACTTGT